AAATTCAACAAAAAAACATTCCCAGTCAGCTGGTAGGGCCCCTAGGGCCCCTGCTCTCCAGGTTTGTTGGGCTTTTCCACCGCTGGCCTTGGGAGATTTTATGGCTGGTTTAAGGGGATTTCATGAGATTTCATGGTGATATATTGATATATATATATATATTATATATATATATTGATATATTCCAAGTGACTTGGGAAGGTGGTGTTTCCAACTCCAAGTTCTGCCTTTTCGAATGTGTTCCGCAAAGAAAAGCGGCAATAGATCGTGGAACACAATCAACAAAATTGCAATCTTTTCTACGAGGGTTTCATGATTGCAGTATCCGATTCAAGTGTATGTTGTATAATGTGGTCACCGGATGCCATAAACCATTCTCAAAATCACCATTTTCATGGGTGGTATAAACCATCCCCAGATGGTAGGCTTATGGCAGCCAGGGTTGCCAACATTACTGTACATTGACTCCATCTTACCTCACCAGCCAGACAGCACCCAGCTCAAACCCCGAAGATTCGAGTGACATGTTTTTTTTCGAATGCGTCGAATTCCCTTGGGGAGACATGTTCAACAATTCCAGATGCAAAATATCTCAGATTCTCAGATCTTTCATCATTCCAGCCATTTTTTGTATAATCCAACCAATCTTCTCAGTTCCTCCAGATTTCCCCCATTGAAATCCATGGTTTCAGCCTTTCAGCCCAGTCGCGGTGCCCCGGTCAGAAGCTCCAGGACCACCATGCCGAAGCTATGGACCTCTTCGATGCCAGAACCACCCGTCACCATGGCTGGATGGCATGACGTGGAACTGAGCAAACCGTACTGGACGGATCTCTTATATATAGATATATTAAATGTGATATATATAATTATATATATATATGTGTGTGTGTGTATTATATATATAATTACCCCACAGGGGGGGGAAAACATCATCTTTTGCTGGTTGCGCTCAGCCCGCCGCAGGCTCCAAGTTTTCGCCTTTTTTTTGAGCGGGCTAAAAGCCTTCTTCTTTGCACAATGGCATGTCAGGGTGGAATAATGGGATGTTTTTACTGACGATCTTTGCGTCACAATACTTGTGCAAGCACATCTTGCCTCTTAGCCGGCCGACCCGCTGCATTGGCATGAGGTAAAGGGGAACTTCTATGACCTGGATTCCAGAATGCTGCACCAGGTTGAGGTAGAAATGTTCACTTGAACCTCCAATCTTGTTGTTCTCATACTTTCTAAACCATTCCTGTCCAAAAAGCGCTGGCCAAACTAGCCGGCTGTAAGCTTTGCACAACACTTCTGCGGCTGCACGGTCCATGAGAAACACGTAGTCTATGAGGCCACCGGTGTCTCCACCCTGCTTCGTATCTAAGCCGCAGAGCATGCTGTACAGTTGTCCGTTGCCGTTGCCGACCTCACGTAGCTCGCCACCGATGTCCAACAGCTTGGTGAGGTTAAAGTCTTGGAACCAATAATTATCGTCACGGAGAATCATCACAAAAGAATATGGCCCATGCTGGTGCTCCTGTGACTGCGCCAGGTACCATAGTTGCTCCAGTTCCTTCCACATCATCAGGAAATTGGTCCGAGCAATTTCACCTCGCCCTCCTTTTTTGTCCGTCCAAAAGGTATTTCTGTCAATGAACGCTATGTCTTGCGGTTCCTTATCATGTTCTTCAAATATTCGGCTGCTCACAACCCTACTGCCATGCATGCTGAATCTCCTTTTAATCAAATGTTCAATGCCAGATCTGTTCAAACCTTCGAAGTCCGGATCTTGTTCAAAAGCGTTCGATGCTTTTCTCCATCCTTCGTTAGTACCAGCAAAGAGTGACAAGAAGACATCTACCTTGCAGTTGGCTTGTATCAAAGGTTCCAGCAAGTGTCTGTCTGCATTGAGATTCACCCGCCGCAACGTGCCGGCAATCAACAAGGCGAAGCGACACTCTTCAGGACCCTGATGCAACGATAGTCCTATCACTTCAGCAGGAAGGTCCCAGGACCAAAACGTCGCAACTACGATAAATCCAAAAGCACACAACGCAAGCAGTACAGCAGCCACCTGCATCAGCAGCACGTTGGGCTTTCACACTCCCATGCAGCGCACGGACTGCCAGGAGTACTTGCTGTGATAGCATCTTATATGTATATCCGTTCACTAATCTATCTATTCATGTATATGCATACATATACATACGTGTATATACATGTAGCGTATTGTAGTATATTACAAGGTATCTTTTCAGTTTAGAGGTTTTCCCTTGGCTTCACTTGTCGCCTTAAGGCTAAAGAAGGCCCCCTGAAGTTCGGAAACGGCGAACTTCGGACGCCCAACATCCGCCAGTTGATTCTGGAACTAGACCAACAATGACCAACACATACCCTCTGGTAAACTAACAGTCTTCGAACTGGAAATTCACCACGTTTAATAGGTAAATCAACGAAATAAATGGACCATGGCTTCAATAGCAAACTCTTACATTTCCAGAGGGTAAATATCAACAATCATCAACATGTCTACCCTCTGGTAAACATACAACAAACTATGGAAAATCACCATTTTCAATGGCTAAATCGGTAAATCCACTATACATGGGCCATTTTCAATAGCAATTGCTGTTTGTTTACCAGAGGGTGAACATCAATTTTCCTATGGCTTTCCTATGGTTTTCCCATTCAAACCTCCATTTTCCTATGGGTTTACCTCGTGTCCCCCAACCCCATCGGCCCATCGATCTCTCAAAGGCCTCCGAAAAAACACCAAATGACATCATGGCGTCTAACACTTCGCATGATTTTTAGCAACCAGCCCAACAAAAATAGGGAAAACACCTAAATAATACCCTCTGGTAATTTAACATAGCTATTGAAAATGACCCATTTATAGTGGATTTACCCATTGAAAATGGTGATTTTCCATAGTTATGTTAGTTTACCAGAGGGTAATGATCTTAAGATTGGATCCTAGTTTTCGGCCGAACCGTTTTGGGGGTGACTTGGAACTTTAAGCTATCAGCATATTAATTGTTGCGTATTGCATGATTATCCCTGTGAATATCTTAGATCCCCACTATGGTTGAAAAAACATTCGCTCCGCTGAAAGCTGTTTGGATCCCCCTTTTTGAAGGCCGAAACCTGAAAAGAAACACTGTTTCGACACATTTTTGAAATGAATGTGTGGTTTTCAAACGCTACAAAATACTGTAAATTACAGTGTTTCTGTGCTGCGGCGTTTTTTGTGGGAGCAATGCCCACAAAACAAAACAACGCAAATAACAATATTTTGGAAGCAGAGATGCAAAAAAAAACGCAGACACGTACCAGTGTTGTTGAAAGCCCAAGAGAAAAAAAAAACACACTGCGAATTACAGTTTTTGCTGGTTGAAGGTATAAGAACACCGGTATTTACACGTTGTTTACAATGTCAAGAAAAGGTGGAAGGCAAGAAATGTTGTAAATAGCATAATATTTTGGCAACTTTCGCTGAAACGCTGGTATTGACACTGTTGTATGACTGTGACGGGGCCCAAGAGCCTATAAATCACAGTATGCGTGAACATGTGTGAACCTATTTGTTCGTTTTGTTGAAAGACAAAAACGCCGGTATTTACATGTTATGGACATGTTTGTTCTCATGGTTTTTTCTCATTGGTGCTATTCACACATTCTTCTCGTTCAACAAGAAACAAAGCAGGTTGAAATAAGGTTTCCCCACCCCCACAAATTGACAAAGGGAGACCAGCAAATGTCTTTTTGGAGGTCGAATTCCGTCAGATTTTTTTCGAAAAGACTCTGAACGATGAAAGAAACGCACCTCGCTGCCCTCAGTGATGATCCCTGTGCGTATGTACCTCGCAGCATCGGGGGCAACGTGGAGACTTAGTCGATTTACATCGATTTACCCTCCGGTCATCAAAGATAGCAATGGAAAATCTCCAAAGTCATGGAGGTTTAGTTCGCTGGGGAAATCAACGAACTAAATGGAAGATCTTCCATTGCCACGGAGCTAATTTGCGGAGGCTAGTTGGCAGGTCTGATTTGGTGGTGTCAACCCATCCCATAATTTGAGCCAATGGGATTGAAAATATGGAAAATAGTTGAAAGCACTAATCACATTCAATACCAACTTCTCCACAAGTTTGGGATTCATTCCATTGTCAAAAGGCCATCCTTCACCAAAAATTCACGTGGGGTTGCCTGCCAATAAGGTACCTTGTGAACAATTGATGATTGATCATCATTTCCCCAAAATTGCAGAATTTGAGGTAAGCTCCATTTTCAGACAGGCCCAAAAACATCATATGGTTGACCAGTTGTATCCTCACTATCCCCATGCACCATTTTTCTCCCAACAGATCCCCATTTTCAACGGTTTAAATCACAAAATCATATCCAAAAAAGATCGAATGATATTATCCTCCGGTCATCAAACCTAGCAAGTTTCCAACCATTTCCAACCCCCAAACATCAATGGATTGTTTTTACCCGCCAAAAAAAAAAAGTCCCCTCCCACGGCACTCAGGGCAGGCATAGCCCACCGTGCCGCTCGCTTGCTTCACCTTGTGCTGTGCGCCTTCCGAGACCTCGATGGTACCAACCATTATTGGGGATCATTTCATGGGATATCTAATGGGATTAATATGGTGGCTATAGTGAGATATAGTCATGAGATATGGCCGAAGGAAGTTTAGAAGTCAAACTTCCGACAATATGGACAGATGAAAAGCAGAGATGGGAAGAGTCAGAGAAGAGAAGAGAAGAGAAGAAGAAAGAAGATCAAAAAGAGAAAGTCTCCGAAGAAACAAGATCCAGGTGTGCGAAAAGGTAGGAAAGTCGCGAAGCACATTTCGAAGTCAAAATCTACAAAACAGCACATGTACGCGCCACTTTTGGACGTTGAAGCGTCGTTTCGCGTGGCAGGCGCAGGGCATTGTGCACCTTGTCAAAAGCGAGCAAAACGTGAGGGTTTTGTAGCATGTCCAAAAACGATGGCAGGCGTGGGTCATTTGAAGAGGATCTGCAAAGATGCATTTTCCATGGCAGGCGCAGTACAAGAGACATGTTCATCAGAGATGTAGGGAGGTGAGGGCGCTGATTTCCGGAGATGGGTTGCATTTTGGAGCATCAGATCTTCAGGTTTGGGAAGATGATTTTGCGTGGCAGGTGCAGCACTTCGTATGACCTGGCATCACTTTTTCGTGGCAGACGCAGTACTTTAGACAGGTGGAGTGGGAAAATCGCAAACCGCATTGGTACGAGGCCGTCAGCTCTGCACTCGACTTTCCATATTTGAAGGAAGTCTCGCAGAATTGCTTCGTTTTGGATGTTGCCAACTTCGAAAATTGAAGAAGTCTCGCAGAATTGCTTCGTTTTGGATGTTGTCAAGTTCAAAAATTGAGGAAGTGTCACAAAATAGGTGCGTTTTCAAGCTTGCAGATAGACAGATAAATAAACAGACAGACAGGCAGGCAGGCAGACAGACAGACAAACAGATAGATAGATAGATAGACAAATAGATAGGTAAATAGATAGATAGATAGATAGATAGATACGTAGATAGGTAGATAGGTAGATAGATTAGATAGATTAGATAGATAAAATAGCTTAGATAGATTAGAGAGATTAGAGAGATTAGATAGATTAGATAGATAAGATAGATAAGATAGATTAGATAGATTAGATATGTTAGATTAGATTAGACTAGATTAGATAGATTAGATAGATTAGATAGATTAGATAGATTAGAGAGATTAGATAGATAAGATAGATAAGATAGATAAGATAGATAAGATAGATAAGATAGATAAGATAGATAAGATAGATAAGATAGATAAGATAGATAAGATAGATAAGATAGATAAGATAGATAAGATAGATAAGATAGATAGAAAGATAGATAGACAGATAGATAGATAAATAGATAGATAGATAGATTAGATAGACAGATAGATAGAGATAGATAGAGATAGATAGATAGGTAGATAGATAGATAGAGATAGATAGAGATAGATAGAGATAGATAGAGATAGATAGATAGAGATAGATAGATAGATGGATAGATGGATGGATCGATGGATGGATGGACCGATAGACAGATAGACAGTTGGACAGATAGATAGAGAGATAGAGAGATAGAGAGATAGACAGATAGACAGATAGACAGATAGACAGATAGATAGACAGAAAGACAGATAGACAGATAAGACAGGTAAGACAGATAAGACAGATAAGACAGATAAGACAGATAAGACAGATAAGACAGATAAGATAGATAAGATAGATAAGATAGATAGGATAGATAAGATCGATAAGATCGATAAGATAGATAAGATGGATAAGATAGATAAGATCGATAAGATAGATAAGATCGATAAGATCGATAAGATGGATAAGATGGATAAGATAGATA